GGCAGAGCCGGGAAGGGGCGGGGGGGACCCAGCCAGCTCGCTCAGGGTGGCCCGAGCAAACTAAAATTAACTGGCTCCTTTCTGAGCAGGCTTTGAAAATGCAAACAGCTGCCAGTGCCCAGAGTTATTAAAAAAGAAGGAAAAAAAGGGGCGCGGGGGGGAAGCAGCGCCTGGGTACATTTGCAGAATGGACTGATTGCGTGCTCGGGGATGTTCGTGTCTGTGCGCCATCACCTCCCCCAGCGTGGGGGGTTTGATTTGTTATCGCAGCATGACCGTTGCTTTTTGCTGGCAGAATAAACGCTTTATTCATGCAGATCTAAGCTTTAGCTGGGGGAAGGCAGCTTTTTTTGAAAAGTCCACTGTTACCTAAGCAGAGAGGAGAAATTTTAAATCCCCATCTGCACTGCTGCAACCCCTTAAGAGACTCGAAAAGGCTGTAGAAAAGCAGCAGTTCCTCTGTGGAAGCGCCCAGCCTACCTAGAAGAGAGAAAATGGCATAGGTGGGAAGAGGGCTGTTAGCGGCCTGCCAGGCGACACCGAGCAGATCTAGACCTAGGCCAACGCACATTTGCTAAGGACAGAAGTGCGGCTTTTGCAGCATAGCTGTGTTTTGAGGTGCACCGCTGAAACACAGGTTGCTGGAACCATCCAGCCTCTGGAACATGCAGGCAGAGCTTGTCCTCGGCAGCACAGAAAGGGTGTGCTCAACAAAAGCCCTGCAACAGCGCCTGCTTTTCCTCCACACTGGCCTAGGAGAGTCTGTGGTCAAAGACAGGCTAGGGCCAAGTATCATTCAACCCACCCCATCCCTGCCTTTGAGGACAGAGGTCCCCTGAACTGTACTATTCAAATTCTTACTTTTACTCCTTTACTCAGGATTGTGCTCCTATTAGCAACTAAGCACATACACCAATCCGTACCGTCCTCCAGGGCAGTTCAAGAGAGCAGCGTTTGGCTCAGGGAACTCAACAGCAATTGTTGGACAAATGTTTCCCATATCCTCTCCTGCTCATGAACAATGTGTCCTCATGCCAGTAAGACCATGGAGCTGCAGCTTTTGTTACATTTGTTAAGAAAAGTTGACAGTTATAAACAGACTTACAAAAATAAATTTACTCCTCTAAAAGTGGACGTGTTTTTAAAAATAATACTGTGCTCTCCAAAATATGGACAGGCAGGACTAGCTACTTATGGCTGCAACAGTTGCTTCGGGAAAAGAAGTAAGTCTTTACTTCATTCTCCGTTACAGCTGTTTGAGAGTGCCTTAGAGGAACTTCAGTTTTTCAGTTTGTTAAGGCTTGTTATCTGAATTCCTTACTTTTCTACACCTAGTGACTAAGCAGGGGTTTGTGATACTCTTCATCTAAATAACCTTCCATGGTACAAACTTACATGAACTTGTCTCCTCTATTGTTTGTTCTTTGGTTGTTAGTAACCTTCAAGAAGATTATTCTTTCCAGTTGTGGGTTTTCTTTTTTTTTTCCCCCCATCTCATCTTTCTGTAACACTCCATGAGCCATTGAGTCACCTATCTGTAATAATCACCTTAAAGCCTCTATTTTTCGCTTTGGCTTATATGACTGACTTAATCTGCAAAGCATTTTGTGATATTCACTATGAAAAATGTTGGATGAAAGGAGATGTTTCACTGGCAGGCAATAGCAATGCAGAGAAAGTATAGCAACTGCAAACTTTCTACCCCGTGCATCGCTCGTTCTGATTTCTGTATGTCAAGAGACAAGTTCAGAGCTAGTAAAATGGTATTGCAAGAAACTATCTTTCAGCAATAGGGACACAGTGACAGAAAGTATTCGGAGTAAGGAACGTCAAATCCAGTGGCAAGACTTTAACTGGATATTTATTTACAAGGCAGGGCAGATGGCATCAGTGCTTCCCCCTGTTTTCTACTGGTCCCATTTGTTAGAGTCATTCCTCCAAACCATGGTATGAGTTCAAGGATGACTGGGAGCTCTGGTACGTGCTATAAAAGCTGTGTGACTCCATTACACTTATGTTGAACATAATATAGAATCTGAGTGAAGCAAAAGAAAAAGAAGGAGTTGAAGAGTGGGCAGAAGGGAAGAAGGAAGGAAAGCTGTAGCCTAGATTATTTCTTAGGGAGATAAGAGGGTAAACTTATCACATGGAATGACGCTGCTAGGCAATCCCAGAGGGCAGGAATGTGCAACAGGATTTACGAAGATGAAGGAAGAAAGTCTCTTGGATGTGTTACCAAATTCCAGGGTTTTTTTTCCTGTTTAGGCCCACTGGGAGATGAGACACAATCACTGAGAGAGGCAATGGCAGTCTCAAACCAGCAGATCGTGGTCTAAGAAAATCCTGGGCTGCTAAGTCCGTCTAGGACATCCTGACAGCTTTCAGGGGACAACAAAAACAAAAAAAAAAAAATAGAAAAGCAACAGCAAAATCCAGGATTCCAGAACTCGGGTTACCCCAAAGCATCCAGAACTGCTGTAAGTAGCATCAGCCATGTTTCAAAAGGCAGCAAACTTATGCTCGTCTCCTGTTTCTACCTCAATCTAAATTCACAAGTGTTAGCCTGCAAAATTACTTAAATTTCCTCGCGACAGGAGGGATTCTCATCAGCACATAAGCACAGGCAGCCACCGTTAGCCAGGTTATCAGCCACCCAGAACAAATGTGCTGCGCAAGACTTTGCAGCATCTGAGAAATTGTCTGTTGCAACCACATAGCAGTTCAAAAGGTTTTCTACAAAAAACTCCTAACAGCTCGTGTTCCGAGTATGCTGCATGGTCTGCCAGCAATAAACCTTCACAAGCAAAGTCCTGGCAAGTCCAAGATACCAGAATAAATTTATAGTCTTGGGTATTGGTACCAGCTCTGGAGCTATCTGGCTAGACTACCATGCATAGGGAGGAATTGTTAGGAACAAACAATTATCTGTCTTTTTACACATTTAAAAATAAATCCAGTTCAACTTCCAAACTAAGTCAGGGTGAGGAGCGGCATCCCTACATGATGTCTTTTCCTGCTGTTTTAAAGCCTCCTTAAATGGTGCCAATATAATTTTCCTTGTTTCCTCTCCCATCTGATAGAGAACTCTTCCTATGGGGGGAGGGAATTCAAAACAAAACACCCCCTCCCCACCCCACCACTTATTTTGGGTGCCCGAGGGTGAACATTTTCAGATTACCTGTTGCAAGGCTTCCAGTCCTCCTTGCCCTCAGAAGAACAAAGGCCGTCTCTTGCCCCTTCTCCTTCCACCCGCTCCTCGCAGACTGTCCTGCTAACAGGCACTGCCAACACCCGCAGGGCAACCGCCTGAATTGTGAGACTTGTCCCAGTTACATTTAGTAAATAACTTCCAGGACACTTTTAACCTCAACATTTTGAAGCATACTTACATATAGTCTTACATGATCAGGCAGGCTATTGAGCTAAGAACATCAAAATTTGCACTCCCTAAAGCTTAGTGGGGAAATGCCAGGAGCCTGAGGGGAAATGATGCATTTACCTATTTTACATAATGATTTGCATAATTAGAAATAAAATAAATTCACGGTATTATATCTGCTTGCATTTCTATCAGTCTGATAGATTACTCTAAATTGCATCTTGTCTGAGCTCACCAAAGAAATCTAGTCTTTCTGTAATGAGGTGGGAGAGCCTGGTATTTCACAGGCAGGGAGTGGGGAAGGCAAGCCCCTGCCCCCCACCATGGAGCCTTAATTTGAAATTAGATTGAAGACATAAGAAACTGATTGAAAAGAGCATATGGGGAGGGCACAGGTGACAAAAGGAAGGGGATACTGCTGGAGGGGATGTGGTTTCCCACAGTGAGAGGTAAAAGCCGGTTGCATCATGGATTTGTAAGAAAGATAATTATTAGCTTATGAAATAGTATCCCAAAGGATACAGGGAAGCTCCGTTGCCTTCCACATTTACGATCAAATTGAAGAAAACATTAGGAAACATTCACAAAGATGGGCTATCAGGCTGATGAGTGCTTTCATCTCCCAGATCCATGAGTAAGAAAACAAAACCTGAAGCTGATCTGCTCATCCCCACTCAGCAGTTCAGTGAGGACATCAGTTACATTTTAACCCTTGCATGACACTTTGAATTCCCCTGTTTCTTTAAAGTGAATTTAATCTGCTTTCTCACAATTTTAGGGTTGCAGAGGCCCTTTGGTATAAAATGCAGACAATCCCTCCCTATTTTACTTTCTTAAGTTAGGTGCTTTTTTAACAAGACAAATTCTCTGCTGGCAGCAGTATTATCAGCCAGGTCCTGTCATCATTCTGTCTGGATGAAGTAATATCGCAGTATGAAGAAGGGAAGCTTCCAGAGACAGTGGGAAAAGATGACATTCGTATCTGCTGTCCTCCTTCCATCAGTGGAGAAGATCCTGCTCTGAGAATCTGGATGTAGCATAGGCACGTGCAAACTTTCTTTCTGGTCCTTTAAATATTAAAAGGTGCTTCTGTCCTGGCAGGGTGCTTGGACACTTCCCAGACTGCTGCAGCTGATTTTGGCCAATTCCATATACGCTGGGATATGTGACGTATCAGCCTGGGCAGCACCTGGAGTAGAACCGCTTGGGATAGAGCTGCCCCAGGCTTCCTGGGCTGGCCACCTTCTCTGGGTGGGGACTCTGGTGGGACTCAGGAGTCCCAGCCTCATGAGTGCTCCACCTTATCCTGAGCTTCTCCCAGTGCCTGTGAAAATGACTCACAGGTCTGCAAAGGTCTCTAGCAGAGTTACTCCTTGCTTTATAACCCTAAAAGTATTACAGATCCAAACAAAAATATACCCTTCCCTGCTTGCTCTCACCACTGTGGAATGTTTTTCAAGAATTTGGCTAGCATCTTTTTGTGGTTGAAGGTCCCCTTCCCAGAAGCATATTCCTCCAGACCTCTCTTTCACACCATGGATCCTTGACCTAGTCTGAACTCTCTGTCAGACATCCCTTTTCCTCCAAAACCCAGTGATTTTGTTCCTTCTGTGTGATTCCCCCTTCTGTAAATCCCCCTTCAGTTTCTGAGGCCAAAGATAAGTGCTAACACCTGATCTCTAGGTCCTTCCTGAAGGAACTGCACAATTACAAAGCCCAGCTGTCTGCAGAAAAGCTAGCGAATACTAGTTCTCCTTCCTTCAGCCAGCCCATTCTATATAGCTGTCCTATTTGTGTAGCTGCCATTAAGGTGACTTCAGTCTCTTATCTGGGTGCATTTCTGCATGCAGCTCTAGCAACGTAAGGCTGAGGTATGTAACAATTTAATGAAAAACAGCCAGTTTTCTTAAGTTTGTGCATAGATTTCCCATCTTATTGTAGATGGTGCCACAATATTTATGGACACTAAATTATGTTTTGCTTCCAGCACTGGGGTTGGTGTGGATATAGTGACTGGTTGTTCTGATCACTATCCTGTTAATATCCTTTGATTGTGAGGGATGCAATGGTCAACTGTGTTGTGCTATGTCTTTTGTCATTTATGCCCACCCTTGTTTTAATTTTGTCTTTCTATAGACCCATCTATTTGAGATTGTATCTTAAATCCTCTTTAATGCACAGACTGAAGGCTTGCACTTGTCCTGTTTGAGTTAATGGGTAATGTTTCTCTTGTTTCAACGGAAACAGAGCAGGATACTCATCAAAGCCTCAAACTCTGTTTATGTAGGAAGAAGAACCGGATTTAGCCCAAAATGAGAGATGGGAAGGGCCCATTATATTGTTTAGCCCTTGCTATTACATTTGCTAGTGGTATGATTAGTCTAATTTTAAATGCCTTGAATAATGGGACTATTGCCATCTCTCTTGGGACATGGTTCTGCCATCTAACAATCATATTGGCAGGAAGCCACTGCCTGATGTTCAAACAAATGGTTTATCTTTGCTTGATTAAGACTCGCTAAAGATGAGTGCAGCCTCCAGAAATATGTTGTTTCCAAAGCTTAGAAAACAAGGGAAGAAGAGCTGTTATTCAATACAGAATTTGCCAGATGTCTAAAGAGGCTGAGGAATTCCTAAGCCTCTGTTTACAAAATCCTTTCTCTTCCTCCCATGAATGCTTAGATTACCAATCACTGCTACCATCCTATGTTTAGGGTGAAATTTCCTTAACTGACTGCACTTCCAAAATTGGATTGGAAAGAGAAACAAACATTTTAATTACTTTTATTTTCCCTCTTCTTGACAGGCTTGCACAAATTAACCCTTGTCCTCCACAATTGCAGTTAAACTCTTAAACAGAAATGTTTCTTCCTTTGGTCCTGATCATGCCCTGGAGACCCACTTGCCGAGGTGGTTCCCTGCTTTGAGGTGGCATGAAGGTTTGCTGTGCGGGGCTACTGCCTGCTGCATCCCTGTAAGCCCTGGAGATAGGCGATTCTGCTGTATGGAGAATTTCCCTTTCCGCAAGAGCCCCCAGGCAGCCGTGACCCAAAGTGCATTTCAATGAAGCGATGCTGTTAAGGAAAAGGGGCAGAGGGCTAACACCAATGCCTATGGACAGCAATCCTGAGAAACTGGGGCCGTCAGGTTTGCAGACCAGCATCATGTGCTCTCCTTTCCCTTTTTTTAACCAGTCATTTCTAAACTGTGATTTCTACCTCGGTGTCAGCCTGCATTGACTGGACTCTCTTGGAGCTGGGACCAACGATACTCTGCATGGCGCTGGAGACACTAAGCTGATTTCCTTCTGTGAAGGGAGGGGAACCAGAAGGCAGCACTTCAAATAAGCTCCCTCCTCATGGAGTCTCCGAAGGGAATGAGGGCCCATTTTCTTAATTACATGTTCATTAGTATGTTTAGTGCTCTCCTCCCTCTCTTCCCCCAGCCCTGCCACCTGGGAGTTCCTACTATGTTACTGGAAAGCCACAGAGGTTTATTTAAATACCACATAGTCAGATTGGAATGAAAAGCTATGAAGCTTCCCCTCTTTAATACTTTTTGAAATTATTTATGGGCTATGCTTCTTGCCTACGTAGAAGGTGCCTTCTGAGATTCCTGCAAGTCAATGCAGAAATAGCTGTTTGAATTGAGCAATAATTAGAAGCATATGGAGCAAAGCATCAGAGAAATCCCATTCTGCTAAAGAAACACTGCTGTCTGAAATAGATTTCCGCTGCATGTAACATTTTCTCATATGGGCTAAAAAGAAATAACATCATATGTCTGGTTTGCACCTACCAAAGCTGGGAAATTCAAAGTAATGTCTGTAATTTTGCTCTGAATTCAGTCTAATGCTGCGTGGTGTTTGCAGCCCCTAGGTTTGTCTGGACTACAATTACAATTTCACTCTCTCTTTTTTTTTGGCTAAACCTCAGAACAACGGAGATTCATCTTCTTTTTGTGAATGTGTGTATATTTGTATTTAATATTTTTTTCTCAAGCTTTGGTTTTTTCTTTAAAGGATTTAAAATGTTGAGGAAATGTTTGTGACTTAAGACATAGTTATGATCTTTTGTAATCCACAGGCTCAGTCTGGGGAAGGTACTCGGAGATCTCAAATCCTAATTTGCTGCCAAAATCTTATGTGCTTGATGTGGTAGATTGTTTCACTCCTGCCTTCTAAAAATAGCAGGTCCTGCTCTCGTTGCTCCCACAGATCATCTCTTTGAGTTTAGAGATAACTGAAAGCTCTCAGCACCTCAAGGGGGGATGTGTAGCACCCAAGCTCAAATTTTAACTCTATTTCTCATTTGCTTTGCTCACACAAGTGCAACTGGATGCAGTTTGCTGCGGGGCTTTTGTTGAACCATGGCGTTGGGGTGAGATGATTTTCTTTCGATGGTTAGAACTTATTGACCTGATAGCTAGCCATAAAGCCATATTTTGGTCAGCTGCTACATGTGCACAGTAAAGCCGTGGTTTTACTGATGAACTTGCTCATATTTATGCTGCATTTTGCAACAGGCAGGGATCATTACTACAATGTAATGGAGTATCTACTAGCCATTTTAAAAAGCAACAGTGTTTTAAAATTACAAAGATACAAAATATCTCTGAAAACATAAATATTGTAGGACTCTAAAGTGTTCAAAGCTTGTGCTACTCAAGATTGTTTACAAACAGGTTTGAGGGTTTTGCCTGGAGCAGAAGTTACTCCTAGAAAAAAAAAAATGCGATTTTGAAGGAAATCATAAAGGTTGGCAGGTTACTGTTTGCTTTCTGATGTGAGCGAGCAGGCATGCGCCGGGCTCGGCGAGGCTGCGGCGTGTGCCTGCCCCGCAGTGCTGTTTCCGACCGCGCTCAGGGGAGTTGTGCAAGTTGGGCAGCGGCTGGTCTCGCCAGTGCAGCGAGGAGCGAGCGTC